TTATGTGTTTGTTTTTTATGTAAAATCTAAAGTAAAGTAAGTAGTTACTCCAGCTATCAAATCTTTGTAGAGGAGTAGAAGTATAAAGTAGCATAAAATTAAAATACAAGTACCTCAAACAGTACTTAAGTATTTGATTTAGTTACGTTCCAACACTGCTGGAGACTTCGAGTTGCAGTGATATAAGATGTAGCATTCTGGATATTAGTAATACAGGACTTTTACTACCAGAAAAATAGACATTTCATTGCAGCAAAGCTCATATTTCTTGTCTTGTGAGATTAGATTTTGTTCAACTGTCTGTCATTAAATGTTAGAAATTAAATAATATATATGGATGGATACAAAAAGTGCAGGGCTGCAACTAATGATGATTATTATTAATATTATATTATTTCATTATTGATTCATCTGTAGAACATTTTTGTTATTAGTTGCCTCACATGGTGTCTGTAGATGTCTTGTTTTGTCCTACCAACTAATTCTAAAACCCCCCCAAAAAACTGAATGTACAATGATAGAAAACAGAGAAAAGCAGTAATTCCCCACATTTGAGGAGCTGGAACCAGGGAGGTTTTGGTATTTTTGCGTTATAAATGCTTGTTTATCAAAATTGTTCAGGAATGATGGATCATTTCAGCACCGATAATGGCTGAACAAAAAAAGAAAGAAAAGAAAAATCAACATGAAAAAGACACTTTACTGTTATACAAACCCTTTGTGTCTGTTTATAGTCAACATAAAGCTGACACTGTCTGTTTGTAGACAGGAGGGCTCCCTCTGCTGGTGAGGACGAGAACCTGCTGTCATAGACAAAGGTGATCTGGAAAGATGAGCTGCTCACTACATAATAGCTGTGCCGGGAAAAGGTATATTTTGTCTTTTTTTTTTTTTTCTATCTCCAATGACACAATTCCTTAATATCCCCAGACTCTTTGTCTGCTCTCCTCTAGTTCAACACCAGGGTGAAATTCCCACCACCTTTCCGGTAAGGAAATAAACTTTAATGGCATATTAGGCTATTACGTTTGCCTCCACCCAACAGCCCCCCAACTCTTTTTCCTGCCTCTTCTTATAACTTTAATCTCGTGTTTTAAACATAAATCTGGCCTGATGCAGCAACATGCTAGTCGCCTTGGCAACATCTCTGTTTTCCCTCCTCTCCAGGGTGTGTTTATGACAGGTCTTGAATTTTTTTTTCTTGCGTGCTGGTATGAAGGAGGAGGCTCACAGCACGGCATACATACATACACCCCTCACCCCTCCTTCTTCTGATGTGAGAATAGCTGCCAAATTGTGTTCAGATGGAGCAATACATGAGAGGGCACTGCCAAGACCCATTTGCAGTAAATGCTCCCAAAATGCCCTCTAGATTTCTCACCAAATATCAGATCCACCATGATAGCACCCTTAATCAACCTCAACATTGGAAAGTGGAAGGAAAGGGAACAGAAGGAGGGGGGT